CGGCGCTAAATATTTCTCTCTTTTACAGGGGAGCGCCCCGGTTTGGGAAGATTTTGTCGGCAAAGCGAGTAAACTACACTCAGCGCTAAAGTAAGCTTGATAGTAAACGTGTGTAATAATTTAACTCTCATATTTTATAATTTACGAGTTATAATTTATTTTTTGCGAGAGAGTAAGATGATAGGCTTAGTTTGTTTTAATTTTCCTCGATTTAGGGCAACAGTTATCGCAGCTGACTCCTTTTTGGACGCTTTTCAACGAGTTGCTGATGTCGCGAATTCGTCACGAGGTAAGGGTACTGTACTCTCCGGCACTTTTTCTTGTTTTGCCGCGTCAAATATCTACTTTGCGTTACTTAAGTCTTGTTTTATAGCAAAATAAGAATGGCGTCAATATCGCGTCTAAAGCTGACTTTTTAGGAAGATTATACTTTGTACAGTGAAAGCACATGTTTCTTCGTCGTGTCATTCGGTTTTAGTTTCATCAGCTGGTCAAGGGTTTTACCCACGCGTGTTGTAATTTTTTTGTTGATATTTGTATAAGGTTATACTTTTTGTAGAAGAATTTGAAGAGTCGTGATGTATACGGTGACTAGAATCTTATCTTGTGGTAGGAACATATGTACAACATTGGATCTTGATTTCGTTCGGTTCTTGTATGAATATAATAGTTTAAGCTAAGATAAGGGATTTTACAAAGCAGATCGTAAATTACAATCTGAAATACCTCACCGAAGTCTAGGGCAACTGTTTTTTTTTTCCTTTCGAAAATTCGTGCGTGGGTAAACTATTTGTCGCTCGAAATGGACGTTATTCAGCTGATTTATTCGAGCGATGAGCGTTCGACTCACAGCAGATTGTGTTGAATGAATTTTCCTTCACAACGCTCTCTTTGTTTTGTTTATTTATAGTGGCTTGTGAAATAGGAAACCTTCACTGGGATCCTTCCAACCGCTTCAAGAAGAAAATTTCGGTTCAAATTACGGTAGTTTTGAAATGTCGTACAAGCGGTCTACGGGAGTTTACTACGAGTTTCCCGAAACCTGGTCATTTTATTGTCCGTTACGATTTTGGCGGTAAAGCAGTGCAATTTTGCCGCGTAATTTTAACGTTCGCGTCAATATTCGGCCCGTCTATTTGGTGTTTTGGCGGATTTTTCTGTTGATTTTTTGCCTTATAATTTTGTTTTCTTTCAGCCACCCAAAGCATTTGCAGCTAAAAAGAAGCAATCGTGCTAGTTTTCCTTCATCTCCTATCAATCTCTTTCCATCAAATTTTGCGGTTCTGGTTTCATAGCATTACTTCAAGCATTATTTATATGGTCGTGCCACCTGCTTCGAACAAAACTCGGACAGTTTTGGGATAGCAAAATCGTGAACCCCCTAAACATGGAAATCCTTGTTCAATTTCAATAGTCAAAAAAGGTTTTGTTAGCGTTCAGAATTTTGAATAATATTTTGTGGCCTTAATCAAAGGAAGTACATTTATGCATGATCACTTCCTGAATTACCGATATAAGCTTAAAACGTGTTTATCGCTATGTAACAAGAAAACTGGACAGAAATTGTACGCGTTACAGTGGGTAGCTCGTAAGGTCTTGAGGTTTTGTCGACCCAGATGAACACTCTTTTTCAATTTTCGGTCAAGTTTCACTCTGTCTGAGTTATATCAATTTTAATTATTTCAAATTTAGATGCATCGGAAATAGTCAATCGGTAAAGAATGTTCGGAACTACGTCTTTTAATTTTTTAAAAAGTTATAAAGCTTTTTTTTGTACCACATGCTAAGATTTTGGCACTTTGTTTATGGAGAATTTACGTTAATTCCGTTACGATTATTTGTAACAGTTTTGGCTTAGCAAACCGTTGTAAAATTAATTAGAGGGTTCTTAGCTGCCATTGTGCACTGAAAGAACGCGCTATATTATTGTAGTTTTCACAAGTCAGTGAGATGCATTCCAAAAAACCGACTACTTGTAGTTATTTTCACGACATAAATTTACCATGGAGTCATTGGCTGCAAATTAGTCTAAATATGTGAAAACCGTGGGGTGCATTTTATTCAAGTTTCATAATATTTGTTTTTTTCCAATGGTGCAGAAAAATAGGCAGTTGCTCCTACACCCCTAATTTCTGTCTTATCAGTATTGTGATGTTGAATATAGGATTTTTACACATTTTGCGTAGTAGAAGCTCACATCCAATGACCAGTTCTAAGACCACTGGAATCTTGATTTTTCAACCTCCCAGCCGGGAACAGGTAGTTAATTCACGTGACTGGGATGCTCTAAAAATGGGCCTGAAAATTACAGTAGAAGGGGAATAAGTTCTGATTCACAATTCAGGTTTCTACTAGACAAGATACGGCTACGTTTTTAAAAGTGGTGTTACCCAGTGGTTACTGCTTTGGGTCAGTCCAAAGGACTGTGTCAATACCGTGCTCAATGTGGAGTTCGAGAACCAGTGACAACCGCAACGGGAATAAGAAGGACAAAACAACAATAGGTTTAGAGTAGCTAAACAGCAGGTGCATCACGTTTTTTTTTTCTACATTTCTTTGCCATGATTGCATGACCTCGTTGTGAAGCTGCCTAGTTTCACATTTTGTAGAGGTCATGAATTTAATAAAACTATTTTTCAATACTTTTTGTAAAACTTTATCAGATAGAGTATTTTAGAAGTCAACTCCGGGAAAGTTTACCAACATTTGATAAATTGAGTGACATGGAATAACAGCAATGTGTTTTCAAACAGCATGAATTCACTTTTTAAGAGACGTTTTCTCAACGTTTGTTGTTGCTCTCATTGCTTAAGCTCCATAATGTTTGTCCAGATTGAACATAAAGCATGTTTCGAAAGTTTCACATTTAGAATCCCCTTTGAATTCATCTGGAATACATAGCACATAACAGGAGGACTGCTAACATTTATTATTGGCTACATGTAAGCTTTATTCCTTCCCTTTCTCAAATACACAGAAGAAAAACAAATAAAGCTAACTAGCAGATTGAAATGAAGAGAAAATTGCAGCATGACAAGGTTTCTGCTTTCATGCTTGTTCCAAAAGTGCATATTAATAGTTGCAATACTGTGTGTTCGTCTGAGCCACTTCTAAGCTTGTGTTAAGCTATTTAAGGTCTGTAAAGTCTTGAAAAGTCCGTGAATATTAGATAAAGTCCTTAAGAATCTTGAGAGCCATTTATCTTCAAAAAATGCTTGAAATTTCCTAAACTGGTATTTGATGAAGTCTAAGCAATGTGAAATAGCAAGAATCTCCATATTTTTCATTTTCTGTCAGCTAGCCTGTTAGTAGCACAAAGAAAAAGAAACCGTAATATATCTGAAATGCTGTGCTTTTTGCTTGAGGTAATTATATATTCATTACAGAATATTATATTTACTTTTAGGAGGGACTTTTCATGATGCTAAGCTTGTTAAAAAATACCTGTAAACTGGTTTTACTGAGTTTGATCTACTCGAAGTTACCTGAGCAGTTTCAGTGGCTGGTTTTCAGAATGACATGGAAGTCATTAGCACTTAAAAAATTTTTGTTTCTCATGTTAAGTATCTTTCTTACCCAAGCCAATGCAGAAGGATCAAAGCGAAAACTCAGTTTAGTTCCTGGTTCTATGGTGTTATGATTCAATAATTTCCTTATTATCTTTAATTTAATTAGTGTTCATTGTGGTCAAATTATTTGCTTTGTAAGAACTTAAGTATTATGTATTCTAATCAGAGAGAACCTCACCAAACATCTGGGTAATTTCTTCACTTCTAAATTGGATACCCAGACTTCGTATTACCCTATGCTTTGTAAACCCAACTATGGTATTTTTTATGCCTGGAAATTCAAAGGAAGAAACCACTTCGGTGGTTCTTTAACTTGGTTCTCTCTGTTTGTCAACATATTCTGAAATAAAAATATATAAAACTTTTTAGCATCTATCTTGGATAATAATTTTACAATCTGGGGTTGCAAAGCACCTTACAGTTTAGATTTAGTTTCAACATTCTTTTGAAACCAAACGATAAATAAGTGTATGTATCTACTCCATTATAAATTGTGGAGTTAGTTTTATGTCCAGGCTCTTGTTTGGCCTTCTTTAATGTAAAGACAAATGTGCGTGAGAGTATTTTTAGATGCTTTTCATTATACATTTATTACACCTTCCTGTAAAGGTTATTTTTGTGGAAAGAATTTTAATGAGTTTTTATACGTACAACTTAAATGGTTTTTGTTTGTAAGACATGCACCTGAGAATTGTGAAACCAGTTGAATGCTAAGAAATTTGCATCATTTTCTTGTGTTATTAAAGAAAAGTCAGAATTTTGTCAAAATAGCCTTGTAAAGACATATTTTTTTTTGGTAATGATATTGTAGTGCCATGGCTGTGTTTGTCACATTAGCACTCGTGTAAATGTGCACTTGTGTTCCAAACGAATGAGATCATCTTTTTTCAAAAGATGCCTGTCCCTGTTGAACCTTTAAAGGTCAAACTTGAATTTCAATTTTTTTTTAATGGAGCTGTTTGTGCTCCTTTGCCATGCAAAGTAACGTGTATTCAATTTGATGATGACCTGAACAAGTACGTCATCATAAATGAATTATTGCTGTCATTTAATGTTGATGACTAGGTGGCATATTCAGTATATCAGTAATGCATCAATACAGGTCATCCCCGCAAAAAAACTCAGACTTAAATATTGCTAATTATGAGACCTGCAGGCAATACGTGACAAAATTCTTTTCACCTACGACTAGTAGCACCCAACAACACCCAGTTGTACTTTGCTTATGAGCCTGTTGATTTATACAATCTGGTGCAAAAGGACTAGCAATGTTATTGTTGTAGACATTTTTAAAAAAATATATTTTAGATTTAATGTCACTTCAAAAGCCATGATGATTAAAAATATCTGTATCCATTTAATAGATTAATGGAACTGATTTTCACTGCTAGTGCACCAAAACAAGATTTCACTGTCTCTGGGAAAAACATGAATTGCAAGTTGGCCTAAATCCTGGCTCATAGTAATGTATCACTAAGAAGCTTGTTCCTTGTTTATTCTTCTTGAGGAGGAGAATTGCGTGACTTTTTAATCTGAAGAACGTTCGTACCGGCACGTTGCGCACAATATCCTAACTTTTTAAGGCTTGATGAAAAATGTCAGCTGTTAAATAGGACATTTTTCAGTATTGTTTGTTTGTGTGTTTTTAAGGATGCTGCAAAGATATTGGAGGATCCCTGACCAGAATGGTGATGAGACACAGAAGTGTGGATAGCAAGCTAAAAGGACTTGCTGGGTAAGTGTGTTTGTGACTGGGAGCCAATAAACCTACAGTGACTCTTAATTTAGTACCCTAAACTACCCCTTTTAATCTCCCCCATTTATAGGCCTATCAACCTGTAAATTAACAAAAAAATGCATTCAATTATTATAAGCTACCCCCCTCCAAATGTAAAAAAATGAATTCAGTTTAATATTATGACACTTTGAAGCTTAATTAAAAACCAATAAATGCAAAACATATTTTGATCACGACTGCTATAGCTTATTTTGAGACTTGTGCTTTTTCTATTCTGTTTACAAGCCCCTTTAGACATACCCCTCCTAAAACCCTTTTTGAATATGTATAGGCCCAGGGCTTGTAAGTGGCAGTTAATGATAAATATATTCAGCACAGGGACTGGAAAAAAATCTGGGCTTGGTTCCTTTTAATCCCTGACCACAGTAAAGGCCTGTTTACGTGGAGGTGGGGGACCCCAAATAGGTGAGGTAACATGCAGTGGGTCACCCCACCTATCATGTAAACGTGATCAAATGAAAATGAGAGATTATATGGACATGCCGGTTACCCCACCTATGTGGGTTACCTCGCTTACCTGGGATGCCCCACCTTGATGTAAACAGGCCCTAAGTCTACATGTATTTTCCCTCCTGGGCCCGGTTCCTCGAAAGATGGTTAAGTTTAACCCAGGATTAAGCCACATTTCAAGCACGTTTTTGTCATCTAAGAACATGCAACTCCAGGTTACAAAATACTGTTGAGCCTTTACTATGCAGCAATGATAGCACAAAATGTTACCCTAAGCAATGTATAGGAATGTAAAATACAAAAATGGAGCAAAATTTAAATCATTTATTAACGCTAATTGGCCTTTCAGGAATTGGGCCCTTTAGATTGCTTAGATCGCTCTTTTGGGCTATCATCACTGATCTCAGATCTCAGAGGGCCTTCTTTGGAGAATTCTAGAGTGAACATTGTACTGTGTTTACCTAATTGGAAATCTTAATTTGCTTTTGTCTTTGTCAGGTTGTTGTCTGAAACACTGGTAGTTCCCCTGCAAGAAAGGTTGGACGATTGGAAAAAGGCTGTCGTTCAGATGGACAAGGATCATGCTAAGGGTAAGTGTAAAAATTAATAATGTTTAGACTTCTCCGGGATTGAATTCTTGCTTGCTCTTTGGACAAGCAACTCAAAATTTTTTGGCTTGCGCAGGTCAAGTGAATGAGGGTTGCTCTGTGCCTCCAGACCTTTTATATTAATTAAATCTTAATTTAATATCATGTGTTAGGAGAGAGACTGATGGGAGACCTACGTTTGGGTACTGTGGGGAATGTTGATAGGGCATTTTATCAGGGCTCGAAAAAAACTCCTGTCCGGTAGTCGGGAACAAGTAGATTTTTTTGCTGGGCGAGGAACTTTACGGTGCCCGATATGCAAGGGTACAGGCAGGTCATCCTCTAACAAAATCATTAACTAGGACAAGCAAGAAGTTGCCCTGGGTGAACAAAATGTGACAGCTGCTTGCCCAAAGGACAAACTGGAATGAGTAGTGTAGGAGTTGCTCGGAAGGTCTCTCCTATTGGTCGTAGGAAACAATGACATGTCATTCTTCCAATTGTTTTAGTATTGTTTGGGGTTAGGGAAACACACCATTGGTGACTTCTCTTGTGAGCAGCTGCTACATGACCTGCTGGAATTCAAGTTTTTTTCGAGCCCTCAGTGTTTATGCTTAAACGTTTGTTGCCTACAAAGCAGTTCATTTAATTTTATTGTCATTACCTGCACTTATTGCTGCTTCAATCCCATTTCAGTTATTTCTTACATTAATTTATTCCTCCAACCTTTTTGTCCTTGAAACAGAGTACAAGAAGGCAAAACAAGAATTAAAAAAGGCCACAGCAGAAACTCACAAACTGCAAAAGAAGGTTAAGAAAGGTGAGTTAGGTGAGCGAAGTTCTTTTGAAACTTTGCAACCCATGCATGCTAATTTCAAAGTTTACGCTATCTCACACATAAAGCCACATGCAGTAAAAATGCTGGAAGTCGACCCATTTTCAGTAGCATGGAGCCACTAATCCTTATAAATACACTATCGGGTGCTAGTCCATTACAGAATAAACTCCAGTTGATGTCTGCTGTACTCATGTATGGGCCAGTTACATTAACCCTTAAAACCCTACTATCAGAGTTCTAGATGTAGTGGAGAGAAGTTCATTTCTCATTGAAAATATCGAGCAAATTCATCTTGTGTGACTCTGTGTGCGTAGTATTTATGACCACGACTGTTTCATAAAGCATTGATATTATTTCATGAGAAATGTGTTACTGATGGCTCTTTGGATGAATGAATGTATGATGACTGACTGAGAGATGGGCTGAGTACAAGTCGGTTTATTATGGGATAAACAACACGAGACCCTGAAGTTTGGTGCTAATTGGGCCAATATTGAACAAGATACAGCTATTTGAAAACTTGAAAATTTATAAGAGATGTATGGATTGCCGGACACATCGTTCGAACGTCTATATATTTCCTAGTAAATTTTGGAGTTTTTGAATGGCTGTATCTCGTTCAATATTAAAGCCTGATAAACAAAATGTCCAAACTTGAGAATGTTGCTAATTTCAATGAGCTCTTTCTGACTGTATGGATCTTGCATTGTTTGACCTATAATGAATGGACTCCTACCCTACCCTTCTTGGTTTGAAACTAGGCAATTGGGAACTACCACTGAATTGAGTGAACCATAAAAATAATCGCTCAAAACGTTAAAACAACGTATATTAAATAACACAGCAAATACAAAAGAAGGTGTGGGTGGACAAGCTTAAAGAAGATTAAAACACATTGCAATTTTAGTTTTTGAAAACTTGTTAGCCTAACAGTTTTTTAAAGTTTGTTTTTGTTGTTTATTACATTTGAAATAATTCTCCGGAGACATATTTGTTTTACACAAAGCTGGATTTTTGTTGTTCAAAAGTAATTTTTCAAGTTCCATAGCAATCAAGGACAGACAAATGGTATTATAAACAAAATAAACCAGCCTGCAAGCAATGAGTACATCAGCCCCTTAACCCTGCCATGGACTAGCATTCGAACTAGGTTTTGTCCAGCTCCAAGAAGAGGTGCTGCAGGGTGCTTCATGCTATTAAAAAACTGGGTCAATTTCCTGTTGTTTCAGCCAGCTTAAACCTTTGTTTAAATCACATCATAATGCATTATTTACCTTGTTGTCTTCATAATTCTCTTATTGCCACTGTACAAGAAAGAATAATGGGACATAGAGAGCGAGAATCTTAAGGAATTGGCTGGGATATGTGAATTTCACTTAAGTTATTTTTAGAGCCTGTGATTAAATCGAAGTCTTATTCCTAGGACATTCGAACCTTTTAATCAATTGTTTAAAATGTCATCAAGTCCATGTGTGACTGCTTCAAAGCAAACAATGCAGAATATTTTAATGTTGACACAGCAAGAGAGCATAATATCCCATCTTTCTCTCCTAAAACATTGTATAAAGGTTTTCGGACCTCTCCGGTTAATTTCAAGCGTATAATTGGTTTAAAAATAACTTTGGTGAAATTCACATATCCCAAAGGCTAGACTGACCATTTCCCTCTGTGTCTTAATATTCTCACTTGTACTGTAACAGTAACCAGCTTTCGACCATGCTTCCTCAGCAATAGGCCTGCTACATGTAAAGCTTACGTTGTAATCATCTGGATTCACTTAGTTGCCTGTCAAAGATTTTGGGACAAAATATATTAGACCTTAGTGCTTTCCAGGTGAATGTGATCACCTTAATTGTCAGTGAGGCAATTTTGAGGCAATTTTGTTTGCTCATAACATATTGCATGTATCATTGCTGGTATTACCGACTATCTTTTTCTTTCGTTCTCCCAAGGTAAATCAGAGCACCAGGAAAGACTTGATGCGGCTTTAAAGGTAAAATATGATTGCCTGTGATTGTTTTCCTTGTTATAAGCATGACAACATTAAGTTAGTAAATTTTGTAATAAATGACCTTGTCAAATCTAAATCGGCAGTGTTAACTGCTAAGACAGAGGTGAAGATATCATACCGTAAAATTCCGAAAATAAGCCCCGGGGCTTATATTTTTCAAAGGCCCTTTTTGAAGGGCTTATTTTTGGAGGGGCTTATATTCGGAGGGGCTTATCTACGGAGGGAAATGTGCGTTTCAAACTCGATTGGGCTAGCCTTATAGTTGGAAGTAAATTTACCGTTTTTGCTCATTGTTTTACTTTGTATTTGAGGGCAATTTTCCAAGTACAAGCCCCCGGGGGCTTATATTTGGAGGGGCTATTTAACGGATGGTTTTTTGCGTTACCGGTTTGGGAGGCTTATATTTGGAGGGGCTTATTTTCGGAATTTTAGGGTATCCTATTTTGGTTATAGCACATACTGATTTGGCAGATAAAAGAGAGAGACTGTGTCGTCGTTGAGTTCGTTATCTAATATTTATTGTTTGATCAAACTTTTATCAACTTAAAAACATACAATCATGTTCATGCATTTTATTTTAAGACATACTAACTGAGAGTTTTCAGTTGCACTGATTTGAAATTTGAATGACTTTTTCTTACAGCTAGCCAATTCCCAGCAAGCTGCATTTGAAGAGCAAGAAAAGCGGTACCTCAAAAAGGTTTTGTTGGAAGAGAGGTCAAGATATTGCGTGTTAGCGACTTGCTTTAGGCCAGTTGTGGTAAGTAGTTATCGTGAAGTCTGTTGTATCTTGGGCATTTCACACTTCTTTGTCATAGGTGTGACCTTACTATGTTGATGCAAATGATTATAATTTAATGTAGCCTGCGTAGCAAGCGTTTCCATTGGTTTCGGAGCAAAGAAAGACCGGTTTTGGCCGCGCGAGAAATGAAAGGATACGCGGTCTTTTACTCTCGTTCCTCGTTCTTTGCTCCTAAACCGCGTTGAAACGCTTGCTACGCAGGCTAAATTTTATGGGGACCCATTTACTTTAGTGACAATTAATAGTGAATTGAGGCTCACAGGGTTAGTGACTGTCCTGACAAATTAGGTTTTTTTCACTACAATTAGATTTTTCTTTTATATGATTCAAAGTCTTCCATTTCCCTTGGGTGGGCACCCCTTATGGGTTGGTCTCAATCGTAGGCTGCGTGGGAGACTACGCTTGGGTCTAAGTGTCATGTTCGTGCCTTTTCCCGTTTTAATCCTTTCCTTTTTCAACTTATTTTTTTTTTTTTTCATTTATGTATAAATAGTTATTATTTCCTTTATTTTGATCTTGCCCAATAAAGTATGTAGTAAAGTTTGGAATTAAATTCGCGGTTTTCTGTTCCTTTTTCCTTAGGAGCATGAGATTTCGTTGTTCGGGGAAGTGGAACATTTCCAGTCCATCTTGGCAGACATAATTAAACAGACAATAAGCCCTTCGACGTTGCCGCTGGCAGGCGAGGACTTGATACGAGAGTTCAGGCTCTCCGATCATAACAACGGTGATGATCAGGTAGATAGATTTGGTTTTATTTTTGTTTAATTCATTGGCAAAATCAAGCCATCAATTGTGTCGGTCCGGATAGTCTCCTCGCTCATGATTACAGTTCGCGGTCAGTGATTGCCATAAAAATTTGTCCCAGTATTCACTTATTTCTTTACTTAAATCTACAGTCTCCACCGCCAAGTCCAACTACTACAATGGCCCGAGCATCAAGTCCACTCCATACCGGTCGCGACCCCCCTACTTCCCCGCCTCCTCCGCTCCCCACAGACACAGACCCCTACTTCAACGCTTTTAGTCGCCATTACTCGTTCTCGGTCAAGCACAGCCAAACACGAAACAAGCTAACCGGCTCTGCAACACCCACTACATCCCCCAAGAAAGTTGCTCCCCCACGGGTGTGCGCCCGTGCTACGAGCTTCAGTGTGTCGTCAACGTCATCACATTCATCAGTGTCGTCTTTAGGATCTTCAATAGGCTCGCCGTCGGTGGAGAGCTTTCCTCGGCCCCCTACCCCTCTGCTGTCTCCAGGTTATTCAGGGGACTTACAGAGTGATCCACTTCCTCCCCCACCCTTCCCTGGAGCAGTGCCTACCTTACCACACCCAGGTAAGGACGTACAACTAAGCAAGATTTGCGTCAAATGCGTTTGGTATTGAAGTTAGTGTGGTTGCTTATACACTTGTCATTGGCTTTCCTGGGGCCTGACCCAGGGGAAACCCCGAGAACATGTGAGCAGTGTGCATTTTTGACACTTTTGGGCGGGGTGGGTATATTGTTTAGTTTCAGTAACGAACGCTGAGACCCCAGAGATGTGCCCCCGGGATTTGGTGGACGTGGGTCAGCGAGACATAGCTTATGACCAAAAATAGCGTTGGTCGCAAACAGGCGCAGCTGTGAAATTTTACCTGTTGCGTGAGAAAATTTTGGGACCACAATTTTTCTAAAACCGAGTCAAAAGTCAAAGGTTGTGGCTTTAATACATGCTAAAACTAATTGACGAAGTCTACTTTAGACGAAACGCATTGGAGAATAAACCAGTTTTCAACAGTGAAAGTTCGCAGAGTGCTGCTCTCTAGTTTAGTTAAAAAAAATTAAAAAATAAATAAGCAAGGGCCAAGGTGTCACATTTGGTATCATGGACGCTGTGTCAAGATTAGTGGAAGAAAAGCGAAAAAAAGAGATAGGCAGGTATCTGTTATTACTGCTAAGATACAGTGTAAAGGAAGGTATTCTGGCTTCTTAGCCCCTGGGGAGGGGGATTTAGCGTGAATTTTATGCCCTACACCCCGGAGGAATTAGTAGGTTTTTGCTGGGTGGTGGAGACAAATCCCCGGGGGTGTCCCAGGGGGTCAACCTGCGGGAAAGCCAACTCGATGATAAGTGCATCATTTTTGCTTCTAAACAAGCCGGTCATAATAACAGTGAGTAGAAATTATTTGGGATTCTTTTGTTAAATGAAAATGGTTTTCCTCCCGAAGTCCGTAAGATTATGGCAAAAGTTGAACCGCAACAGCAGTAGATCAAAGTAATGTTTGCGTTACCACTGGTGTTAAATTTTATCCCAGCATTTCTAGGACTGTAGAAGATACTTTTGCCTTTGTATTGGGACATTAAATTTAGTGATGGCCGTCAGTTTTTGTTGAACAGCGTTGGCCGTTGTTATGCGGAGTTTCAGAATTGGTTTTGAATGAATAGATGACAGTCATTTTTGTTTCGGACAACAAGTTCTGGCCGCCGATAGTGAACTTTACTTTCTGAACCCGCAACTTTTAATTTAGTCACTGGGACGGTTGTGGTCTTAGATTCACACATGATAAAAATCTGCTGACCGTTTGGATCCAAGTTAAACGTCTCGTTATTGAAGTTAGCGTAAGAATGGCACTGAATTGAAGGGTTGTTATTTGTTTTCGTTTTCGGTAGGCGACAGAACATCATGGACGACATCTACTGACTCGGGCTGCTGTTCGTCCTCCTCTGGGGAGAGGTCTCCGTCAGCGTCGCTTGCGCAGATGTATCTACCATCCTCGATCGCGGAACACCCGCGAGAAGGCGCGCCCGGACAGACTGACACACAAGGGCCTCAGTATGCCACTCCCTACGCTGTTTATAGTGGTACAAGGTCGCGGTGTATGAGCGAGTCAGCCACGGGTTTGGCGCATCGAAGAAGCGATAGCGAAACGTCTTCACAGAGTAGCTACTCGGATCATATCCCAGCTGCTGGTGGGCTAGCAAGCAGCGATTCGGGTTATTTCAGTTATGGAGGATACCACCATCGCTCTAACCCCGATAGTATGCAAGAAAATTCCGGCGGATGGACTCCCCAGCAGAAATTGAAAACCGGGTATGGTAGAAGTCAGAGTATTTCCGGTAGGCCAACGGCAGCGCAGCAGGCGCAATTAGCCACGTTAGCGAGTCACGCCGCGCGCAGCAGGAGCGCGCCGATGCCACCCGCTAGAAAATCATCCGTGCCGCCCCCGTGCCCGGAAAGAAAGACGGGACTAACGCTATCGGATGGTGATTTGAACAGTTGTGATGAAGTGGATGAACAAGGTGAAAAGCTTAGCTTCTTGCAACGGCAAATCCAGCAGCAAAGACAGTTGATACAAGCCAAGGCGAAAAGTAAGGAACAGTCATGACATAGTGGGATATGGTTTAAAAACGAGAAACTTGGCTAGCCTTGGCAGAAAAATTGTATTTGTAACAGTACTTGATTCAGATCAATGGAATTAAGTTTGTTACGATATTTCGTTGATTTTGAGGTGGACTTAATAACCAAATTTACGCCCTAATATGGTGAGAGGGACCTTTTACGGAATGGCGTCCATGCTTTTAGCTGCCAGTAATTTTGGAAGCCTAGAAGACTTGGACTCTCATTGATTAAAACGGGTTAAATTTATAGTTACACATGAACTGACGAGACCACGGAAGGGTTCAAAAATGTGTCAGTGATATTTAATATACGAGGTCTCTTTACAAAATTAGCAAGCTAAATATAGTTAAACTTGTCACAGCCTTTTAGCTTTTGTATGGGATTATAGGAATATATCGCTTTCAAGTTTTAAAATTTATAACGTATAGATATAAACATAAGCAATGAATTTAGCCGATGACGCGACGATTTCAAAATAGTTTTCAAGGTAAACCTCAAGTTCTTTGCATAGTGTTTGTGTACTTAGCAAATAGCTTGTACTGTATTCAGGATGTTTAGCGAATGGTTTTGCGGTTTTAAAACGTTTTTTGATTCGCTAAATATCCTTTGCCAAATCTTCAATTGTACAAATTATTACTGAGACACTCATCATCTTGGTTGTTTGTTAGTTTGATAGCTTTGATTGTCTTTTTGTATTGGTTAGGTGAAATCCAGGTTTTCGAATCCCTTATTAGCATAGCCTCCCACGCAGAAGGTCTTTGGGCTCGTCACACGTTCCTGTCCCACGAACGTTGGGAGGATTGCGTGACGAGGCAAAAGAACGTCTGCGTGTGAGGCTGTTATTAGCAATAGATTAGTGTACTCAGAAGAGTGATTGTTATAAATTCGGCTTCCAGTTAGAGTGTTATTATGTACCACCAGCTGCACTGCGCCCTGGGCAAATGGGACACGAGTATGTTTCAACAGTCACTGCTGGTCAGTGGCGTAACACCAAAGTGCAGGCGCTTTCCTGTTGGACTGTCTCGTGTTCCTTCCTTTCCTTGGAATGTCGCTTTATTTTATTAATTATTTGAACCATAAGATTCACTGAGAAATTTCGTTTTAGTGGTTTCCTAAACCTTTGTTGACGCGTTTAGAATTTTTTTGTACGGTTTCGATTCTTCGTAATCCCATGCATCGTATATAGCTCTTGCGCCGTAATCACGCTAGCTGTAAATAACCCAAAGGCCATAAATGTACCACGCAGATGTAACTTCACAAATGTTACAGTGGTTTAGAGTTATATTTGAAACTGAAAAAAAAAACGTATTGGGTGCTCTTGAAAAACATGTGGGCGTTTATAGTTTTAAAAGGCGAACGTTTTCCTTCCTTAAGTCGTAAAGTTGAGTGGAAACGCAAATAGTTACCTCGGCCGTGGACTGAATTATATCACTGAGACTACAGTCTCCATCTCTACGGTTGTACGTTTTATATATACGAAAATAATCAACAGTAAGTTCACAATTTGGTCATTGTTATATCAGAAACGAAAACGTTGCCTTTGTCGCTATTAACGCTTGAAGGTTCTTACGATTGTCGAAAAGCGTAAAACGAAAAAGCAACATTTTGCCAGTTAGGTATCAGAGTGAGCACATACCTTGATGTTGCCGGAACAAGTTCAACACCCAGGTTGTATCAACCGTGTAACTTACGTAAAATATCCCCTTAACTCATGATAGGTTTTCTTGTTTACAATTCAGAAAAATGTGATTTTTTTTCGTCTATTAGACTGGCCCTTTGCAATCGTCGAGTGAACCCACTCAAAAATTTTATCCCTTTCGACAGTCGCAAGATGTTCAGTTATAGATACAGTTAGGTTTACAGTTAAGAACAAGGAGTTACCCTTTGTTATTGAAATTATATTTCATATTAGTTTAGACGGCAAACACAGCAGATATTTATTTTTTCCCCAGCCCATCCCCCACTCCTCGATTCACGACCTTGTTTTCGTTGTATTTGCTGTCTATCCGATGAACTCTAGCTATAATTTATTCCCTGTTCAAGACAACACATTGATTTGTGGTATCATAGTGAGGTAATAAAACTGTGTACGGTTTATCCAGTGGCGTGAGTCGTGGTAATACTCAAATCGATAGACTCAGGAAACCCCGAGATAAACACCTTATGTACCTTTTATCCCACTGTGTCTGGGCACGCAAGCATTATGCTTTTTCCGAGTTCCCTTGGGCCCCTGTATCGAAGCGAGGTTAAGTGCCCAGCCTTTGATATGAACATGATTTATGCGATCTCATGCAAATAAAACTCATTTTCACAAGAAAGGTTGTGCACTTGGCCTCATTTTGTAACATCCTTGAAGACCCAGGGTGGGGAAGGACTAAAGGTGCGGAAAAACGGGCAACCAAAAACGTACAACTTGTCATGCAACATTGCTGCAAAACAAGTTGAATAGCGATGTTCGTGTTTTACCACCCGCGTTCAAACCTGTCTTGCAAAAAATCAGGTTGTTAACAGGTTTGAATGTGGGTGGTAAAACGCGCAACATTGACCCGGGTACCCTCTGCTTTCAAAATGGTGGATCATTGGCCGAAACCCAACCCGTCTTGCGGTTTCCGTTGTCTCAAAAACTGTCCGGTCTTAAACGATCATTTATTTTATGAGAAAAGGAAGCTGTAAAAGTATCGGTCAACACCAGGAGCCCATGATGGGCTCCTGTCAACACATACAACAGATATGGTCGACTAAAACAAGCAGGTCCTCTAACTTTTCATAAAACGTGTTACTTTCTCACCTTTCTGTATTATGATTGACAAGTTTTCCATGTAGGTTGGTTTATGCAGCCGGGCCTACAATGGAGGTCAAATGTGCTGGAACCTTCCCACTGACTTCAGTAAAGCTGCCGACTTCTGCAATCCCCTCCCACCTCAAACAATGTTGGATTTAGAACGAAATGAATGGAAATGAGTCCTTTTGGGATTGCAACATCATTGATGGGAAGAGTGGGGAGGGGAGAAAGAAATAAACCCAAAGCCTATTCAAAAATTGTTACTAGAGACAGAGTCGAAAGTAATAATACTTGGAGGGAGGAGGGGGGGGAGTCTACAATGTCCCGAATTCTTTTGACCTCCGTTGTAGGGAGTTATCATAGCGAATGGCAAAGATGGCAGTTGCACGCTTCGGGTCATGGCGGGCTCCTGACTCGGTTAGGCAGAGAGAACTTCAAACACCGAGACCTTAGAAAAATGATGGAGTACTTGCCTTGAGGCATCTTAAAAAAACGTTAGGGGTTGTTCACATGGTACAGGAATGATGATACCAAAGCGAGCATTTCTTTCCCGCTCAAGTCATTCCGCTTTTCAATGCAAATAAAATTCTCGTTCTGGTAGGAAATTTCATTCTGGTATCGTGAAATTTTAAAACGAACTTCGTTCCGGATTGAAAATGTGTATACGTGTATATGTAGTTTGGCCAAAGGGGTGCATGCGTGTTTGATCTGGCGCGAAAATCACAAATGCTGAGCCGGTCGACTTTATCATATAAATGCAGTACAAACTTTGCTCTGGAACTAAACTCTTCCGGAATGAAATTCATTCCGGTATCATATAAACAGCCCCATAAAAGGCAAATGGAAGCAGTAACGGCTGGAATCTTAGAAAATTCCCTCCTTTCTTTTTTTACCTGAACAAGGGTCTTGCCCATTTGACAAGAAATATGCTTTAAAATGTAAAATACCTCGAGCTATTTTATGACATTGCATGCACTTTCTATTGTTAAAATCACCAAAGTTCTTAACGTAATTGTAATTTTTTTAAACCGCTTATTATCCATTGACTGTTATAACTCATCTTTGACCATTTCCCTATCGTAATCTATGCCATAAACGTCTTTTAAGCGCTGTTTAAAGGCCGCAATTGCATGAGGAGGAACCTTAAAACTATCGAGGATCGCTTTACGCTGGGCCTTAAAATCAGAGGAACGCATCGCGTACTCATAGAACTGCACCGTCTTTTTCACTCCTTTGTCCAGCTCGTGTGGGCCCCATTTGATATAGTTTAACGCCATGGAAATGTCCACCGGACCGCGCTTCACTGAGGGGTAGTAGTGTAGCCCTCTATCGTTTGATTTGTCAAACTTAACCTCTGATATACCAAGGTGTTTAGCCATAATACGTAGTAGGTCTTCTAACGTGGTTGTCTCATTAAACGCTAGGTTATACGCAAAGTTGAACACCCTGTTGTCCTCGTACTCTGGAAGAACAATCAAGAGATTCGCTACATCTTCAGAGAAAACAAAGCTCAGCGGCTTATCATGAAGGCTGGGCGGCAACTCAAGCGGTCGATCTATGATGTCATGAAAGCGCAGCCACAAAAGATAGTTCCAGAAGCGATTGGTGTTATCACGCAACCCAATAACGTCAGGAAGCCTTAGAATAATGTAAGGGATGTTCCATAGTTCGTGTTCTCTTTTGATGGCTTCCTCACCTACAAGTCAAGGTTATTGTGTTAGCT